ATGTGCATTTTTTCACAATTAAAAATTTTTAAAACAGGAAAAGTAAATGAGGAAGTGTTTAGCATAGTTTACAGCTCTTTGGCTGTTTCCCTCCAGAGGCTCTGCTCTGAAGGGAACCAGTGGTTCTAGTCATCTCCCATTCACTGAGCATCACCACTTCCACCACTGCTGAACTCCCAAAACAGTACCTGTGCTTAGTGGCTGGCTAGACACAGATAGTTGGTCACAGACGGCAGGGCTGTTTCCAAAGAACAATATTCTCTACATACCATTTCCACATGGCTGCCAAGCTGATGGTGTGTGTACTGACCCAGCCATGTGCCAGAGTCCAGTCCTGGGAAACCCAGTATCATTACATCATCTCCATTTGACAGATGAAGAAGCTGAGGTTCCGAGTGATTGAAAAACTGATCTCAGTTCACACAGTGGCAAAATCAGAATTCGAACCCAAGTTCTTCTCTCATGCTGAAGGTAAAAAACCAGGATGCTTCCACTGAATTGTTGGTTCCCAACCTTGCTGAGTACATGGATTCTTCCTAATAGCAAAGATTATCACAGACTACACAGGGTAGTAGTCATACTTTCTGTGTCTACTGATTGAGAAAACATGTAATGACTAAGTTACTCTGAATCCAGGAATTCTATGAGTCATAATAGCATCTGCATACAGTCTTAAAATCATGACTCTTGACTTGTGAGACGAGAGGCATTTAATTGACCAATAGCAGCTGTTGCCTTCATGGTTTCTTAGGCCTTTGGAATCACCCGGATCTTTGTCCCCAGAGACTGGACACCCCTGAGCTGTCCCATGAATCAGCTGAAAGGTGTGGAGACCCTGAGCCTTCTTGTTATGTAAGCTATGCCTACATAATAGAGATTCTACAATACAGCCAATGTTAGGTGCTTCTTGGGAGGGTTACCTTGAGCCTTTGCATCCCATTATCTGAGGCTGGGGAAAAAGACTGGTGCAGTGCTAGCTTTGGGAAGGACCATGCATTCTTCTTACCGATTAAAGACTGCCATCATTCACAGCAGCATCCGTCTCTCAGAGCAGAGCACTAGAAACAAACAGCTGAAGCGCTGAGAACCATGGTTCAACACTCTTCTGTGTACTTTCAGCAGAGAAAGCACCTTCCATTGACTTTTATCTGACCTTCAGAGATCTCCAATTATAGATCTGGGAAGAAGTGCCAGGAGGAAGAAAAGAAAACCCTCCTCGCATTTACTTTAAACATGAAGGCTCGTACTCTTGAGTCTCATTGCTTCTTTTATTCATTCCAGAAACCTTTATTGAACACTACATTGATGCCAGGCACTGCTCTAGGCATTGGGGATTCAACAGTGAGCTCAAAAGACAGTGATCCCAGCCCACGTGTAGGTTACATTCTAGTGGGAGACAGATTACCCATGCAATTTTAAAAATAAAAATAGGTGAGAAGTCAGATAGTGGTAAGTGCAATAGAGAAAAATAAAGCAGAGAAGGGGAAGAGACACCTGATAGGGGTTGGAGGTGGCACTGTCCTACCCTGGTGGGTGACAGTTAAGCAGAGAGTTAGGAAGTGAAGGAGTGAAGCACACAGGTGCTCACCAGGAGAGGACAGCAAGGCCAGGGTGGCCAGGGCAGAGTGGGAAGGGTTGCATGGGACTTTGGGGGCCGTTGCGATGATTTTGACCTTGACTCCATCAGAGGTGGATCACCTGGGAGGTTTTTGAGCAGAGGTGACATGATCTGACTTTACTGCAGCATAATTTCCATGCCACAAGGGCCACCCATTTTAAGTGCAACCAATTTACTGATTTTTAGGAAATGTACAAGGTTGTGCAGCCATCACTACAACCCTATTTTAGAATATTCCCATCACCCCAAAGAGACACCTCATGCCTATGACTTACATTTTAAAGAGATCACTTTGGCTCCTGTGTTAAGAATAGAAATGAGAGGTAGAGGCAAAGAGAGTGTTGGAAAGAAATGTTTTTCACAGCACATGTGAATAACAAAAAGTTTTAAGGGGCGGGAGACATGACTGCAAAAGCTTTTCTTTTTTAACTACTGGTAGTTCAGAGCTGCCTTAATGCTAAAGTTATAACAGGATGAAAGAATTTGACTCCATGTAAAATTAGCTCTCCCAGTAAAAGCAGGATATTAATAACATCCACAGAACTGTTTTAAAAAGGAGAGAGACAAGCATAAAAGTTGTATGTATCTGTGACTCCTGAACTTGAGGATGATCCCTGCCCCCTTTTGCATAAAAAGTCGGAATATTTCTAAAGCCATGGGACTGTCTTAATACCTTAAAAATCTCCAAGGAGAAAAGCTTTTAGTAGCAATATGAATAAATCCCAAACACGTTTCAGCAAACATTCATTGTCCCCGCGACAAAAAGGCAGTTAGATCTTTTCACATTAGTTATTATTAAAATGCTAAATTTCAGTTTCTTTTGTTGATCTTGAGAAGTGGGGGCATTTGACACTGAAGCCACCTCATGATCTGAGGGACCATCTGTCGCCATAGCAGGGTCCTGGGTGAGGACCTAGAAAGCTGAAATCTGGTATTAGAAGATTGGACCAAATGGTGGATGTTGACTTTTTTCCTTTCCAGCAGCCTTGTCTTTTTCTTAACAGCGGTTTCCCCTCCTGCACTATCCCACTCCAGGGAACAGTCAGGTGGCACAGGGTGACCTCCCATCCTGAATCCCACCTTGGGTAGGTCTAAGGTGATTCTTGCCCGCTTCCTTAAGTTAACACTGGGGCATTACTGAGAGTCTGCCACGTAGCTTTGCTCCAGGTTTGTGATCTCACAGAGAACAGATCTTTAAAACCTAACAGCACATCTGGGGGGACAAGTCTGAGGATGAAAGGGGACGAGGCTAGTGAGACAGCCACCAGCCCAGCTCCAGCATCAGAGATGGGTAAATGCATTCATTTCAAGCTTGTCAGCCGCCCTCACTTGATTTGGCTGTGCTCTGGGCCATTTTTTTTTAAATAAGGTTCAAGCTACATACTAGCATCTGTTCAAGGTCATGGGCAACTACCTCTTTCGGCTTTCCTGATAGCTTTCCATGGGTCCCCCTGCTGGCCATAAGGGGTCCCGGCCCTGCCGGTAGCAGTACCATGGCTGAAAAGCAGCACCAGCTCTTCAGCAGGCTGACTCTGTCAGACAGAGAGAGAATGGCCCCAGAGGGAGCGGCTAAGCTGGATAGTTAGCCCTGGGTCTGCAGCCATGTGGCACTCTGGGAGTAACGGTAACCTGCATGTGTCACTGTAAATAGCAACAGAATGATCCCAGGACTCACAATTCTCTGTGTAGTCTGGGTTCTGGTCCTAGCCTTATTCTCACTGGCTGTGTGTTCTTGGGCAAGTCCCATCCCCTCTCTGAGCCTGTTTCCCCATCTGCCCAGGAAAGGGGTTGGAATGAGGTCTCACTGATCTCCAGTGGCCCTTTTGGCAACAGTCTTGCCAGCGACAAAAGCACCTGAAATATCTCTCACGTGGAGGGGTAGCTGAGCCAACCCTGCTATTTAGCACCAGCCGTCAGCAAAAGGAGTGAAATCAGAATTCTGTGCCACGGAATCTTTGAACCCCAGAGCCAGGGAGAACTCAGAGACTTGGGACTGCAGGGGTTCTCAAACTCTTGTTTTCCTGGAACCCTATGGTCAAACTCTGACAGGAAGCCCAAATGGAAAACAACTGGGAGCACTCTGGTTAGAAACCAGAGCCCAGAGAAGGAAGTGTTCTGTGTCACTCACAAGAGGGTAGCAGAGCTGGGTGACACTGTCCCAGCTGGGCACGGTCTAGTGTGCAGCTTCCCAAGGTGCCAGAGAACTCAGAGGCATAAGAAAGAGCCCCAGCCAGGGGAGGGGGGGACACAGGCCCGTGAATGGTCACTGCAGTCACTGTGCTGGGGTTTCCCTAATCCTCCGGAAGACCCACAAGGGCAGTATCATCATCCTCTTTTAGGCTCAGAGATGTCATGTGGTTTGGCTCAAGTCACATAGCTCAGAAGTGGCTAAGTTGGGATCTGAACTCATATCAAAGCCCATACACGGGCTTCCTGGTGGACAGAAGCTTATCACTCATTCACGTTGTTACTGGCGCTGTTCTAGGCACGGCCATAAGCTGTGGATAAGGCAGCCAGAGTGCCCGCTCTTGCCGAGCCTTGATGTTAGAGGAAGAGACAGATGATAAGCCATGATACATGACAAGAAGAACAATAAAGCAGAGAATGGGGACAGTGACCAGGTGAGGGGGACGTGTGCTGTCTTGTGGTCCAGAGCTGTGCTTCTCCAAGCCTGGTCTACATGCCCATCTGGGAACTGTTAGTTTCCAGTCTGCAGTGAGATAAAAGACATACTGCTTCTCTATTTCTGAATGTCCAAGACAAACAGACTGCACTTGGAACAACCCTGACCTGAGACATTTCTGAATCATTAGATCAGTGCAGCTGATACCTGCACTCCCTGCCCCCGAGACCCATTCATCCGTCCTCTCTTCATCCCTTCCTCTCGCCAGGCCACACAGATCCAGGGAACCTATTACAGAGGGAGGCACTGGTGTCTTTCCCCAGCCTGTGCGATGATGGAGCCATAGTCTCCCCTGCAGGACAGCCCCTCAGGTCCACGGCTGGTGCGAACTTCGTGAGTGGTAGAAGGAGACCTGTGTTCCCACTCAGGCTGTCACTCACTAGCCATGTGATCTTGCAGATGTCTTTGGTTTTTCTTAACTCTGAAATGGGGATAATGATGCTCTGAAAGAACAGATCAGGTACACGAGAAACTTGGCCCTGGGCCTGGAACTTAGTAAGTGGAAGCTGCTATTATTGTGCATACATGTGTGCATGTACGCACGTGTGTGTGCATGTGTGCACGTGTGTGTGCACGTGTGCCTGTATACACGTGTGTGTGTGTGTGTGACATTTGTCTCCTCCACTGCTGTTGGAGAGTCCCTCCCAGCACCTACCATGGCCAGGGACACTGACGGCCTTTCCCGGCATCTTTTGCCAGATTGCCAAGGGATCATCGAGGATGTCATCCTGCTGGGCGCGCCTGTGGAAGGAGATGCCAAGCACTGGGAGCCTTTCCGGAAGGTGGTGTCCGGGAGGATCATCAATGGCTACTGCAGGTCTGTCCAAACCTCACCCCAGTGGGGAGGTGACACTTACCCAGCACCTAGTGTGCCCAGGCCCTGTGCTGGGGACACATATTGAAGGCCGAGCCCCCGTCCTGGTAGGTCCCAGGAATCAGGCAGGCACTGGCTCTGTTAGGAGCAAGGCCCAGGCCAGGGGTTCAGATCTGGGAAGCGTCCCTCCCCATGGGAGGATGGACAAGAAGATCCTGAAAAAGATGTCCTCGTGTCAGGCCCGAGAGTAGCCGGCAGGGTGACAGGAAAGGCTGGGTGGCCCAGCATGATTGGAGCTAGGAGGAGAGATGTGGGTGAGTGGAACAGATTGAAAAAGATTGGGCCCACATGGAGGTCTTTGAACGAGGACTAAAGAGCTCGTATCCAGCTGTCATTTGGTGCATGCGAGGAATTCGGACCAGGATCGCCCACATACATTCAAGTTCCAGTCAACCCAGCAGAACCCATGTATATGAGAAGTCTGCCCTCCCTATAGGCAGCTTTCACTTCCCATGAATTCTGTACTTTCAATCCACGTTCAGCTGTAAAAAAATGCATATAAGTGGTCCTGCGCAGCTCAGACCTGTGTCGTTGAAAGGTCAGCTGTATTCATCTTTGGCAGTGGAGGAGGGGCAGTGGAGTCTAGGCCGAGCTTTCCAAGCACTGTGTCAAGGCAGGGCAGGGTGATAGAACAGGATGCCGATGGCATGGGGGAGCCAGTGCCCAAACCAGGTGAGGGACCCTCTGGCAGGAGCAGGGGCCTGTGAAGGTGACAGCTATGGGGCTGGAAAGGAAGTAACCCCTGTTTGGGGTTGAAGAAGGAGGACTTGTGGGTTTCAGCCTAGGCTGCGACCTAGACTTTGGGGGAAGGAAGGAAGGTAGAGCCCAAACTGAGCCCCCAGGAGACTGGCCTGGGAAGGTGCTCCCATCTCTTCAGCCTCTAGATGAAGTGAAGGACAGGGCAGCAGTGTGTAAGAGTGAATGATTCGGAATCACACAGTCCTGGATCCTAATGCCTACCTCAGTTTCTCCATTGGTAAGGAAGAGATAATAGTAGCAACTGGATTGGCGTGGTGGCTCATGCCTGTAATCCCAGCACTTTGGGAGGCCAAGGCAGGAAGATCACTTGAGGCCAAGAGTTCGAGACCAGCCTGGGCAACATAGCAAGATGTCCTCTCTACAAAAAATTTTTTAATTAAATAAATAGATTAAAATAGTAGCACCTACCCCCCCCGGGGGGCCTTATGATAGTGGGATAATTTATGGTACATACATGCCCTATGAACGACAGATGATGGTACCATTTATTTTTATCATCACCATCAATCACTTGGGATATTCCTTCAACAAACTTTTAGTGAGCACCAACCTTATACCAGGCACCATGATGGGGCTTCAAGAGAGAACAGGACCCACCCCGAGCCTCGTGAAACCCAGTATCCAGCCAAGAAGACAAGCAGGAAAACAGACAACTCCAGGCAGGCACACAAAAGCCTGCCAGTGACACCAAGATCCAAGAAGCTGTGAGAACCGAGGGCTTTTGTCCCCAGGTGTAGTGCCACCTCATTTAGTGACACACTTGCCCTAATGAGAGATGATGGGCTTTGCTTTCCCCACTGTGCTCACGGCTGAGTGACCAGGGGACACCACCCCAAACCCTGCCAGAGTAGTTTGTGGTACACGACTTTGATTGCCTTTGTAAAATCCAAAACATTGTGGATTCAGAAACACAGTAGGACTCAAGGATTTTGGATAGGGGACCCGTTTTTTGGAGTCATTGTCACAAAAGCACAGGATGCTGACTGAGTCACCCAGAGATGGGGGCATTCTTTTTTTTTATTTTTTATTTTTATTTTTTTTAGTTGAAGTCTCACTCTGTCACCCAGACTGAAGTACAGTGGCCGCACCTGACCACTGCAGCCTCGTCCTGCTGGGCTCCAGCGATCCTTCCCGCTCAGCCTTCCAAGTAGCTGGAACTACAGGCGTGCTCCACCACACCCGGCTAATTTTTTGAATTATTGTAGAGATGAGGTCTCACCAAGTTTCCCGGGCTGGTCTCAAACCCGAGGGCTCAGGCAATCCACTCCCCTCAGCCTCCCAAAGCGCAGGATTACAGACTGAGCTGCTGAGCCCAGCCAATGGTGGCTTTCTAAGCCTAGATCCAAAGGACATGTTGGAAGTTTAAGAAACAGTAAGATTGGGAGATTATCTAGTTGTAGGAGGCAAAAAAAAAAAAAAAAGAAGAAGAAGAAGAAGATAAAATGACTCTAGAGCTTTGATGGGAGGCGATTGGCCCTATTAACACAACTTTAAAAACTGACAACTAAAAGCAAGAAGGAAAGACTTGGTGGGGAAGCAGCTGGTTTTTTGAGAGGATGAACCTGAATTTTGCAACATGTGGCTGGGAAGGCACTAGAACCCAGGGAAGTCAGAAGCAGAGCAGGGCCAGTGAGTCCATCAGCTCCTGGGGTGAGGTCACTGAAGGGCAAAGTGTAGTGAAAGAGAAAAGCTTGGATTCCCAGTTCTAAGGATTATATTTCATGATGGGAGGAGGAAGAGGCTCCAGCCTGAGGTTAAGGCAACTCAAAAGCATCCAAAACCATGTGCCCGAGATCTTGTGCTGGGCGTGCGGGGACAAGGTAAGAGAATCTTGTGACCCATGGGAAGGACACAAAGGGAAACAGTCATTTAAAAAACAAACAAAAAACCAGGCTACTCATGCCTGTAATTCCTACACTTTGGGAGGCTGAGGCGGGAGGATCTCTTGAGCCTAGGTGTTTGGGACCAGCCTAGGCAACATAGTAAGAGCTCATCTCTACAAAAAGTCAAAAAAATCAGAAAATTAGCCAGGTGTGGTGGCATTTACCTATTATCCCAGCTACTCGGGAGGCTGAGGCAGAAGGATTGCCTGAACCCAGGAAGTCAAGACTGCAGTGAGCTGTGATCGTGCCACTGCACGCCAGCCTGGGCAATAGAGTGAGACTCTGACTCAAAACAAAAACAAAAACTAAAAATGCAATGATGCAGCAATGGGCGGAAGGAATTTAAGAAGCATTAGTCTCTTACCACCTGCCAGACCCCATCTTTGTTGTAAATAGCTCCTTTAATCTTCCCCTAAACTATGGTGGTGTTATCAGTCCCATTTTACAGATGAGAAAACTGAGGCTCAGAGAGGTTGTGTCACCTGCCCAAAGTCATACCAGAACCACAGTATTTATCCCAAACCTGTCTGATTACTTTGTATGAGACTCTCAGGCCTGTGTGTGTTTCCCTCACTTTCAGGACACAATCATATAGGATATTTGAGTTCTTAAAACATCTTTCATTCAGCAGGTCTTTACTAAGTGCCTGTTATGTGCCAGGCAGTGGGAACTTCTTTCATCTTTTCCAAACTAGAACAGTCTCCCTAGCTGCCTCTATTCTTCCCGACCTTGAACAAAACATGAAAATCCCCAATCCCTGCCCTCTCATAGTTTACATTCAGAATGTGTTTGTTGAGAGTTTACTACATTACCAACACACAATTTGTGAGCAGGTTATCTGCAGTTCAAATCATACACAGAAAAATTTCATCCCAGATGATATTTTTCTGCTAGCTTCCTCCCCTTGCTAGCAATTAGTGTATGTTCAGATGCGGCCAGTGAATTTTCATTTTAATCTAAGCTCGAGACCTTGTGCTGGGCATGCGGGGACAAGGTGAGAGAAGCTTGTGACTCATGGGAAGGACACAGAGGGAAACAGTCATTTAAAAAACATACAAAGCTAAACGGAATTGATTTGGAAAGTCTTTATCATTTAGATGATTTGGCCCATGTCAGTAGTAGCTGAGTATACTAATAGTGGGTATTAATTAGGACACAGGAGTTCAGATAATCAGTTTGGTTCTATTACCCATACTCTAAGCTGAGTGCATAGAATCAGGATATGGTAGAAAGAACAACAAAGACAAAGGCCATAATATATAAAGAGCTCATGCAAATCAATAACTAAAAAAAATCTAAGAAGAAAATGGTCAAAGAATATCTATCTCATACAAATTCATAAAATAAATACAAGTAGTCAATAAGCTTTTGAAAAGATTCCCAACCTCATTAATGAAATAAATGTAGAATAAAATTAGTAAGATGATCAAACATTTGAAACATGAATAACATTTTGTGTTGGTGAAGATGTGGAGAAATAGACAATGTTATATGGCAGCTGGATCAAGTAAATCCTTTTGGAAGACAATTAGTATCTATCAAAAATTTTAGTGTACCTATTTTCTGACCTTACAATTTTGACTTCAAAGATTCTGCAGCCAGGCTCGGTGGCTCAGCCTGTAATCCCGTGCCTTTGGGAGGCTGAGGTGAGTGGATTGCCTGAGCCTGCGGGTTCAAGACCCGCCTGGGCAGGCGAGACCTCATCTCTACAATAAAATCAAAAAATTAGCCGGGCGTGGTAGTGTGCGCCTGTAATTCCGGCTACTTGGAAGGTTGAGGCGGAAGGATTGCCAGAGCCCAGCAGGTCGAGGCTGCGGTGGCCGGGAGCAGCCACTGCACTCCAGTCTGGGCAACAGAGTGAGACTCCAACTCAAAAAAAAAAGATTCTGCAATACAAAATACATACATGCACAGAGATGGATATACAAAGGGGATCATTGTGGCTTCATTTATAATTAAAAATTTAAAACTAAATAACTATAAATAGGGAATAGGTAGTGTTAAAAAAAAAAAGGCAGCAGTTTGTGCCATGATCCCATTTAGGAGGGGAAAAAAATGTCTGCATGTGCATAAATGTATCTATGTGTGTCTATAAATGCACACTAAGGTCAAGGAGAACCATAACATGCTGATAACAGTGGCTACCCCTAAGGAGTGGACAGAGATTGGAACGAGAGTATAATAGAGACTGCCATTTGATTTTTTTTTTTTTTTTTGAAGTAAGAATAGGCTAGTCACAGTGGTTCATGCCTGTAATCCCAACACATGGGGAGACTGAGGCTGGAGGATTGCTTGGGTCCAGGAGTTCAAGTCCAGACTAGGCAACGTAGCAAGACTTCATCTCTACAAAAAAATGACAAAAAGCATCCAGGAGTGGTGATGTATACCTGGAGTCCCAGCTACTCAGGAGGCCAGGGTGGGAGTTGCTTGACCCCAGGAGGCTGAGGCTTGGGTGAACCTTGACGGTGCCACTGCACTCCAGGCTAGGTGACAGAGTGGGACCCCAACTCAAAAAAACAAATTAAGTAAGGATAGCTTTAGCTGGGCACAGTGGCATGTGCCTATAGTGCCAGCCTACTCAGAGACCAAGGCAGGAGAATTGATTGAGCCCAGGAGTTCAAGTCCAGCCTGGGCAACGTATTGAGACCCTATCTCTAAAAAAATAAAGTAAGGATAATTTTTAAAAGAAGAAAAAGAATGGACAAAAACTTTGACGTCATACAGTCCCAGGTTAAAATCTTGGCTCTGCCACTTACCTTTTGAGTGGCTTTGGACAAACAACTCCCCTGAATCTCAGTGTCCCTGCCCATAAAGTAGGGATAATAGTTCCTCCCATATGGGGATTCTGGGAAAATTAAATGAGGTTATGAAACAAAAGCACTGACACTTAACAGGTGCCCAATAAACGACAGCAGCTATCATATTTACTACGGGGCGTATTCACACAGCACATGACTACAGCAAAGGGAAAGAATTAAAATTGCATGTGTGTGGTGTGAAGCAGGAGAATCTTATTAAACCCATCTGTTTTGTTGAGAGCCTGAGGCTAATAAGTTTGGTTTTCAATTATTTTGTGAGACCAGGGGCTGTCTCTCTGTAGAGAGAAAAGGGGGAGGAGGAAGAAGGGAGGCAGGGGAAGGAGAGGAGGGTAGAAACCGGAACAGTAGCTGTGGTTTCTTGGTTAAAGTAAGCACCAACCAGGAGCTCAGACTCTTGGCTTCCAAAGGTCTTCTGGTTGCTGTGAACCTTCCTCAACATGGGGGGTGGGGGAAGAGGATTCAGGCCAATACTACCAAGCGATATATATTAATCATATGCAATTTGCATTAAGCTCTTGGCAGAGCATTCACTCACTCGGGCTTTTCACAGTCTTCTGGGGTTTTTTGTTTTGTTTTTGAGTCAGAGTCTCACTCTGTCACCCAGGTTGAAGTGCAGTGGCACACTCATGGCCACCACAGCCTCGACCTGATCGGCTCAAGTGATCCTTCCACCTCAGCCTCCCAAGTAGCTGGAACCACAGGCACATGCCACCATTCCTGGCTGATTTTTTATTTATTGTAGAGAAGAGGTCTCGCCAAGTTGCCCAGGTTGGTCTCAAACCCCTGGGCTCAGGCAATCTGCTCGCCTCTGCCTCCCAAAGTGCTGGGATCACAAGTGTGAGCCACTGCACCCAACTCCACAGCCTTTTGGAAGCTAATGGGGTGAGTGACTCAGCTGCCTGCTGCACCCCTGAGAAAATGAAGGTCAGAGAGGGCAAGGGACTTGCTGAGGGTCCCACAGGCATAGCCAGGATATCTGGGAACTCAGACCTTGTAGCTCAGGGACAAGTCCACCCTGTGGGCTCAGCTCCAGGAGCCATATCGGGAGGCAATGATGGGAGGAGGAGGAGCAGGGAGGTCCCAGCCCACAAGGTCCCAAGGCCTGATGAGTGGGTTGGGCCTCACCCTCAGCAAGTCACAGGGTTCAGCCATGGGATCCACAGGTCAGCATCCCTTTCAGGGCCTGTGGGGGCGTGGCTCACTGTGCCCCACCGCAGGGAGGTCCTGGTGCAGCACAGGGTGCAGCCATGACTACAGCATATCCCACCCTCAGGGAGCTCCCTGCCTGGAAGTCTGGCAAGCACCTGGCACTCAAGCGGTGAGAGATTAATGGTATTGCGTGGAGGGGCTCAGGCCACTCCTGGAGGAGGCGACATCCAAGCTGAATTTTGAAAGAATGTATGTAGAAGCCCGTCAGAGACTGGAGGCACAGACCGAGCAGGAGAGGGGCTGCACAGCTCACACAGGTCCAGAGCAGGAACTCGAAGTCATGCAGGCTCCCTGTGCGCCTACATGTACACATGCCCTCTCAACACTCCCACCAACTCTGGGACCCATCAGAGTGGTCAAGCCACTTGTCCAGGGTCACACAGCTCAAAATCGACAAGGCAGGACTTGGACCTGGCTCTGCTTGGTCCAGAGACAGACAGAGAAGGGTCTTGAATGCCAGTGACAGTGCCGAGCATAGTAGAGAGAGTATGGAACCTTCTAACATCTGTTCTTGTTCTGTCCCTACCTGTGTATAAATAAGTGCAATTAACATTTTATTTATTTATTTTATTTTTATTTTTTGAGTTGGAGTCTCACTCTGTCACCCAGGCTGGAGTGCAGTGTCACACTCACAGCCACCACAGCCTCAACCTGCTGGGTTCAGGTGATTCTTCCACCTCAGCCTTCCAAGTAGCTTGAACCATAGACACACCACCATGCCCAGCTAATTATTTATTTATTTGCTGTAGAGACAAGGCCTCTCCAAGTTGCCCAAGCTAGTCTCAAACCCCTTGACTCAGGCCATCCTCTTGCCTCCGCCTCCCAAAGTGCTGAGGCTACAGGTGTGAGCCACTGCACCTGGCTGCAATTAACATTTTAAATAAAGTGTTGTCATAATTATAACAGGAATAATTTGGAAGGAATTATGCTGTCCTGCTCATTTATGCCTGTCTATAGCGGTAACATTTAGGGTCCATCCTCATACCCAGTATTTGGTGCACATATGTCCTGTGAATAGCTGGATCCCACAACCTGAGCTGACCTCCCTTCTCCCTCTGGCTATCCATTCTTAGTGCTTCTTGGACCCTCAATATTAAGATAATCAACAGGACTTGAAAGCATCGCTCCCTGGAGAGAGCTAAGGAATTTTCTAGACAAGAAAGCCTATAGGCAATGGGGAGCCATGGTCAGTTTCTAAGAGGGGAGGGCTGTGGTCACATGGTGTTTTAGGAAGGTCCCAGTGGTCAAGAGAGGTGAGGCCAGGAATTGGGAGAGCTGTGAGGAGGCCACTGAATTAGTTCAAGGGGTAGGGAAGGGAGAATTGCCTGATCTCAGGACCGGAGCATAAGGGACAGGTGGGTGAGGAGCGTTGGGAGGAATCAGCAAGGCTCAATGGTAAGTTGGCTATGGTGGGAGTTGGGGAAGTGCCCAGGACATTGGCTTCTGCTTAAGGGACTGAGAAGATGATAGGGGGAAGGATTGAGGGCTGAGGAGCTGGGTCTAACACATAGCAGGAGGGTCTGTAGAGAACCCTTCAACTCTGGGCCCCAGTCCTTCCAGGGACTTCTAGGTACCCACTCATGGACCCACGTGGTCAGAGACCATAGGTGTCAGAACCAGGAGGGACTGGAGAGCACCACTACACCCTGGATCCCAGACAGTGGGGACTCACCTGGTGTCACTTGGCAGGTCACATGGGTGGGTCCCCACCTCCTGCCTCTCAGCTGTTCTCAGGTCCCTGCCATGGGGGAGGGTCCTTCTTTCAAGCAACAACCCTACAGAAAGAATGCCATACAACCAGAGTTGGAACTGGCCTAAATAAGACAAGCAGAGGCGCCAGCTGGCTCTGAGTCTGGGATGCAGAGGGGAGAACGGAAACGCACGCATGCACGGGCTTGCTGGGTGGCAAGGCAGAGGGCAAGGCTCTTGGCTGACCCAGCTTCACCCCAGGACTAAGCATAGGGGTTCCGGAGGGAGGGCTACCTCGTGAGATCCTCAGACTGTGTTCTCTTTTCTCCTGGAAAAATGGCAGGCAGCTGAAAGTCCAGCATCCCAAGGCCATGTTCTCTGGGTAGTTTAGGACCCTAGTTTAGGGGTGTGTTTGGCGGGGTGGGTGCAGACAGTGGGGTTCATAGCAACCATGAAAGTGGAGGTGTGTTCTCCCGGCTGTGACCGGCCTGCACATCCACTCCCCCCCCAGATGGCTGAGGGCCGGGAGGACCTGCAGGCTGGGTTCCCCCAGCTCACAGAGAGATGAGCCACCTAGGCCCTTTCCTCCCAGGCACACGCCCCTCTGCCATTCTCTCTGTCCCCAGGGGGCCCTGAGCCAGCCACCTCCCCCTAGCTGAGAGCTGCTCTCCTGAGCATCATGCTGACTTGTCAAGAACTTTATCCAGTTTCCTCATTCATTCATTCACTCATTCATTTATTTGATACTCCTCTATGGCATACCAGACATCACTCTTCGCTGTGGGAACCCAGTAGGGAATAAAACAGGGGTCACCACGGTGCTCGTCAAAGCCCGGGCTGTGCACCAGGCTGGGCTCTGAAGTGTCCACCACTTCCTCCATGTCGCCACTCTCCGCGGCACTGTCGGGGGCCCTGCCTCCCACACAGCCTCAGTCCTCCAGCATCCCAGGAGGTAGCCTGGCCCTGTCCTCTCTGTCCCGAGGCTGACGTTTCGACCCCTCTCCGCCCTCACTCAGGGGAGACTGGCTGCTGAGCTTTGTGTATCGCACGTCCTCGGTGCAGCTGCGCGTCGCCGGCCTACAGCCCGTGCAGCTACAGGACAGGAGGGTGGAGAATGTGGACCTGTCCTCAGTGGTGAGTGTTGGCCAGCCCCTCTCAGGGCTGGGCTTTTGTGGGGGGTGGGGTCTTAGTTGTCCCAACCTAGTGACTCCTGGTCCCGGAGACTGTGGCCCTGGTCTTTCCACCCAGGAAGAGAGGGCTCCTAAGACTCTGTCTGGGAAGGGGTAACTCCTATTCACCAGGCATCCTCCTTGTGCTGGGCTTTGTCTTCCTGGTGCTGGGCACCCGTCATTAATCCTCCCACGGCCTCTGGAGCAGGCACTGTTATCCCCATTTCACAGATTAGCAAGCTGAGGCTTAGAAAAGTTCCTGTGACACAACTGGCAATTATAAAGACTGGACTTGAACCTCCAGAGCCCTTGCACTTGTGCCCCATCACCACCCTCCCCCCCTCAGTCCTCCCCCAGGGCTGCCCCACAACCACATCCCAGATCACTAGTCAGGACTATCTGGTTAAAGCCAGTCATCTGGGAATGTATTTAAAGTGCAGAGCCCAGGTCCCCACTGCCTAGACTTTCCACATCAGTCTCCAGGGACAGAGCCTACGAGTCTACCTCTAAACATATCCTGACGGGTTCTCATGCCGCTAAGATCAGGCTGAGCCACGGGGCAGATGGTCAGAAAGAATTCCTGTGGGGAATGGGGTGGTAGGGGACCTGCCTGGACAGCCACACAGACCCAACCTGAGTTTGTAGATCACCTGTTAGGCTTGAAGGAGCCTCTGTCACCTGCCCCGCGCCTGTCCTCAGAGGTTAGGACGCTCACTCTGTGCCGGGCTCCACCCTAAGCCTTTTACTGGCACCAGTCTCCCCATTGTACAGGTGAGGTCACTGAGGCTTAACAAGGCTCAGGGGCTTGCCCAAGGTCACGCTGCAGAGCAGGACTCAAAACCAGGGCTGAAGCTGATGGATGTAGCCCCGGCTCAGGTAGAGACGGGAAAGAGTGGGAGGGGTACTGTGTACCAGGAGGAGAAAGCAGTGAGACGCAGGTGTAGACACAAGCCGACTTCAACCGGTGAAAATCCTTGCCATGTGGGTGGGCCCAAGAGAACAAGATCTTTGGTTTCCAGTTATCACTTGTCAGCTGCCACTTAGCAAGTGCCAGGTGCTTCCCAAGCGTACCTGGCTTCTGCATAATGGTTGTTTAAGCAGCAGGTAGTGTCCTGCAGACAGCAGCAGGCCACACCATCCCTGGGCCTGTGAAAAATGGCCTGGCTTGAGGGCCACTCTGGAGGACTCTGGCTTCTCCACTCAGCATCAGCAGCTGCTCACCCAAGCACCCCGCCACTGCTCCTTGGTGGCAGGTGAAGGTGGGCATCCCACCCACCCCCAGCACAGCTCACATGAGCTGCATGTCTGGTGAGCCTCGACTGAGCTTTTGATAACATTGAGGAATTCTAGAACCAAAAAAACCATAAAACCAAAGCTTCAGCAGGCACCGCTGCCCCTGGAGTCCTCAGCCCATCCCTGCCTGAGGTCACCCGGACCTCTCACTCGGCCTGGCGCCAGGTTACTGCGGCCAGCTCATCCCCACATGTGTTCACCCTCTAGCTCCCAGGACCTACCTCACACAAAGGTCCTGTCTCACCCGAGGAATACACACGAAGCTACCCTATGCCTTCCTCACGGGAGCTTTGGGTTGATGTAGCCCCAAGAGGAAGAGGAGTTCCAGACTCATCCACTCCTGAAACTGACCGCTCCTGGTTAAAGAGTCCTCATGGGACAGACACGAATGTCTAGAGCCACAGGGGGCCTTTGGGACCACTTGTCCCAGAAAGACTTGGTTCATGTGATATAAAGCTTGCGACAACCCCATAGAGTCGATGCTAAGCATCCCCAAGTCACAGATTGTAAAACTGAGACTTGAGAGAATGGACTCACAGCCAGAAAGGTGTAGATCTGGACTCCGAACCTGGATTCAAAGCCTGTGCTCTCCACTCTCCTATGGGAATGAGGTAAACTGAGTCACGGGCCAGAAAACCCTGGCTCAGAAACCTGGTTCTGCCACTGGTTTACTAGCTATGTGACCTTGGACCAGTTACATAACCTCTCTGTGCCTCGGTTTCCTCACTTATGAACTGGCAGGCATCACCTCACTTCCAGGGCAGTGTGTGTAAGATGCTTGGGGCATGGCCCTCATTTTGTGCTAGTGCCCTCCTGTCCTGTCCTGTCCTGTCCTGTCCTCTTTGGGACCAGCAACTTTCCAGACTCCTCTCTCTCCTCAGACTGTGTGGCCGCTTCCCAGCTCCTACCTAACAATAGCCCTTTTTTTGTTTTTTTTAATTGGAGTCTCACTCTGTCGCCCAGGCTGGAGTGCAGTGGCATGCTCACGGTCACCACAGCCCCAACCTGCTGGGCTCAGGTGATCCTTCCATCTCAGCCTTCCAAGTAGCTGGAACCACAGGCATGCGCCACCATGCCCGGCTGATTTTTTCATTTATTGTAGAGACAAGGTCTCGCCATGTTGCTCAGACTGCTCTCGAACCCCCAAGCTCAGCGAATCCTCTCGCCTCCACCTTTCAAAGTGCTGGGATTACAGACGTGAGCCACCGCACCCGGCTGTAATAACTCTTTCTCACATTCGGGGCACATCACAAAGCGGTACCTTCCTCTTCTGGGTAATGAGGGGTAATTAGCACGGCCTGTGTGCTGCCTTCAGTGCTCCTCAAAACACTTTCCGGAGAAGCCGCTGGCAAGAGGTTTCCTCGCTGCTGTTGGGGAAGCACAGGCCGGCCTCTGCCCCGCTTCGAGACCCGCAGGACCTGTCTCCTCCCTGTGAGACCCACATGGCGGGGCCCCTTGTGATCCTCACACGGGGCTGGCCCTTCCGCATCCTGCCTCTCAGTCTCTCCTGCGAGGGGACTGGGATGGAGCTGGCAGGGGAACCTGCCACCCCAGGCGCCAACTCATAAAACTGGGGGTGGGGGGCAGAGACTCAGCTCAAGACAAGACTGCATGTTCCAAAGGAAATGCCAGCTGGCTTCTAGAACTTTGCAAAGGGCTTGACTCAAAGTAGACACTTGATAACAACAGCAGGAGTCAACAGGTGCTGGGCACTGCTCTGTGTGCTTTACAGGGATGAGTCATTTGAGGCTCATGCGGTCCCATGAAGGTGTAATAACCCATTGTACAGACGTGGAAACTGAGGCTGCAGGAGGCGACACAGCACGTGAAGGGTAGAGCCAATGAACCTGGCTCTTAAGCACTGCCTTTTGCTGCCTCCATTCTTACATATCTGCAGCTTCTGGTAGTGACCTCTTCCACCATATCAGTAAGCCTGCTACATGCAGGATCTCTGTGAAGTCTCACAATCAGCCACGTGGTGTAGGTGTCTTGATTGGTTCTATTTTACAGATGAGAAAATTCGCCCAAGAGGTGAAGGAGCCCAAAAGCCTGATGGGCTTAGAAGGAGTTATTGGGGCAGGCAGAGTAGGGTGGTGGCCCTCTGTCTGGGCAAGACTGCAAGGCAAGAAACGGGAAGTCCTGAGCCCATCCAGGCCTGTGAGGATCCAGTAATGCGGCCATGGTGTATGGGGCTGGCTGTGGGAGCAGAGGTGAGAAGTGGTCCCTGCTCTCCTTGCATGCACTGTCCATCAGAGAACATAACCTATGAACATGTGATGATGGCAGGTGGCTGAGGGTGTCCGTAGAGGCCGGGGAGCCTCGGGGAGGGCTCCAGATAGTGCAGGAGGCCAAGGAAGGCTTCTCCACACCAGTGGCACCCAGCATGCATCCGGGCAGCTGGCAGATTTCAATCAAGACAGCCAGGGAGATGGCCAGGGCTGAAGTCTTCATCCAAGATCGGCCATGCCAGAACTTTCCATGACGGAGAAGAGGCTTTTTTCTGGGCCACCACACCCCTACTCTCTTATCCCTTCAGCCAACCTGAGCTCTGCTGTTGACTGCTCCCCTTGGGTCTTTCCACAAGGGCGGCTCAGAATCTTGGGTTGCCTGAGACCTGAACCAACTTGTAGCCAAAGAGGGCCAGAGCTGCATGTTCTGGGACAGCTCACAGTGGGATTTCCACCTGGGATTGGCTGCAGCCAGTGACCACAAACACCTTCCTTCCTGGCCTGTATCTACCCAGCCCTGGCACCAACCCTTTGCAACATTAAAGAGGTATAGAAAAGCAGTTCGTTACCGTATGCCCCTGTGGGTCTGAAGTTGCTGGTGGCTGGAATTCAGATGTGATGGCTAGAGTTTGAGCAGCCATATTGGGCTCTCAAATGGATCAGCCTGGCTAACTCCCTAAACTCCATTCCCCTTCTAAGGAAACGAAGATAAGGAAATTCATATTTATGGAGCACCTACTGTATGCCAGGCATGGTGCTCTGTGGTCTGTATGTATTATTCCTTCCCACCAGCCCCTTGAGGTGGGTATCACTAATTCAAATTGCATAATGTCTCTTTGAAAGTGTTTTGGACCAGGTGTGGTGGCTCATGCCTGTAATCTCAGCACTTTGGGAGGCTAAGGTGGGAGGATTGCTTGAGGCTAGGAGTTCAAGACCAACCTGGGCAACATAGTGAGACCTCACTCTACAAAAAAATCAAAAAATTAGCCGGGCATGGTGGTACATGCCTGTAGTCCCAGTTACTCAGGGGACTGAGGCCGAAGGATCACCTGAGCCCAGGAGGTCAAGACTGCGGTGAGCCATGATCATGCCACTACACTCCAGTCTGGGCGACAGAGGGAACACCAACTGAAAAAGAAAAAGAAAAGTGTTTGGATCACGTATGGAACACAACACTAAAAGCATGTCCTGAGTTCCCAAGAAGTGCCAGGCCTTGGGCCTCTTGAGCGACATTCAGGGTCATGCTTCTCATCTTACAGGTGGGAAGCTGTGGCTCAGGAAACTGAGGAAAGCCCCAGTTACTATAAGAGACGGAGCCACCTCTCCTTTCTTTTCACCCCTCCCTCTCTTTCCTCCTTTATTTCTTTTCTTTTCTGCCTGCTTTTTATTTCTTTTTTCCTTTATTCTCATTTGACTTCTCTCTCCAGCAACCTCAGTAACAAAGAAAAAAGAAAAAAGTTTTAAAAATAAAAATAAACAGAGAGAGAGATGGAACTGAGGTCAGAACCCCGGCTTCTCAGATTCCAAATCCAGGTTCTTCCTTGTGCCAGGTAGCCTCTAAATGTGCATCAGCCATGAAAGGGCACTGGCCCACCTTGACTTCCACCTTGAACTCAGGGGGCTGAAAGCCACTTAGATGTGTGGATACACGTGCATTTCTTCCCCCAAAAAACTGTTTTAAAGTGTTTGTAAGGAAAGGAACAAGAGGGTCTGGTGGTAAGAAAATAACAGAGCAGGCCGGCCTTGGTGGCTCAGCCTGTAACCCCAGTGCTTTGGGAGACCAAGGTGAAAGGATTCCTGAGTTACTTGGGTAACTTGGCGAGACTTCATCTCTACAATAAATCAAAAAAGTTAGCCAGGCGTGGTAGCACACACCTGTAGTTACGGCTACTTGAAAGGCTGAGGCGGAAGAATCACCGGAGCCCAGCAAGTCGAGGCCGCAGTGGCCGGGAGCGTGCCACTGCACTCCAGATGGGCGACAGAATGAGACTCCAACTCAAAAAAAAAAAGGAAAATAACAGAGCTGTACAGGGAATTGTCTTTTTGTGTTCCTGAAAAATTGCTTGAATACCCCAGTGTGATCTGTGATTCAAATGGAACTGGAGATATCACTCATGAGTCCCTCTGTCATTTCCTAAGATGCCCTGCAAGAGCCTCCCTAGTGTCTCCCTGTCCTCTTTTTAAGAGAAAACCTTCCCCCTCAGCCCTGAAGCCATGTTCTGCCTTGTGCTTGCCTTTGGCACTAAGCAGGCCCCCTTGCCTGGCTGGGAGAGCGTGGCTTCATCTCGGGGGCAGAGCTGAGCTGAGCAACCTCTGTAGGCAGCCCCTCAAGCACTATGCACGGCTCCACATGCTGTGTGTCATTAAGTAAACCATCAGCCCTCTCTGGGCTTCACCGTCCTTGTCTATAAAATGAGAATGATTTTTTTTTTGAGTTGGAGTCTCCATCGCCCAGCCTGGAGTGCACTGGTATGCTCATGGCCACCCCAGTGTCAACCTGCTGGGCTCCAGTGATCTTTCCACCTCAGCCTTACAAATAGCCAGAACTACAGGCGCACACTACCATGCCCGGCTAATTTTTTATTTATTGTAGAGACGAGGTCTCGCCAAGTTGCCCAGGCTGGTCTCAAACCTGTGGACTTAGGCAGTCCGCTTGCTTCAGCCTCTCAAGTGCTGGGATTACAGGCTGAGCTACTGAGCCTGGCCGAGAATGATTTTTAAACCACCCCTCCCCAGCTGACTTTCTATGAAGAGAACAGGCTTTAGATACAGGTCTGGATTCAAATCCCAGTTCTGACATGTTCTAGCTGTGTGACCTTGGGCAAGTCACATTGCCTCTCTGTGGCCTGATTTCTTCATCTACAATTAGCAGCTGAGACCTGTGAAAGGAGTATATCCAAGAAGCATATTTGCTGCAATGCATTAAGGACCTACTGGGTGCTGGGCACTGTCCATCACACCCCTGGCATCAGGCATTCCAGTCACACCCCTCCTTTTCACTCAGCCACACATCCCAAAACAAAAATGGGGGTGTCTTATTCTCTGAGGAAAGGGATGAGCATGTCTGAGTTCTTGGCCTTTGTCCTAGCCTTAAGATTCAGGCCCATATAACAGAGGCCCCGCTGGGTGGGTGTCTTTAACACACAAGGGTTGATGCTGTCATGTAAAAGAAGCCAGAATAGGCAGCTGAGGCTGGTGAGCTCCCCCACCATCTTCAGGAGCCTCAACTCATTGTTTGCTCTGCCATCCTCAGTGGGCCAACTCATGGCCCAAGATGGCTGCCCAGGCCCTGGCCATCCCACCTGAATTCCAGCCAACAGGAAAGAGGAAACGGGGACAGAGGAAGAACACATAAAGAGAATTCTTGTAAAGAGAATTCCAAGAAGCATCAGCTAACACTACTGCTTCATCCCATTGGGCACAGTGAGTCACGGTGCCACACCTAGCTGCAAGAGAGGCAGGGGAGGGCACCCAGCTGTAAATCAAAGTTCTTGGGATCAAGGAAAAGGAGAAGCGTGAATTGTAGCCAGCACCTTGCAGTCCTAGCTTTATTTCCAATGTGGGGACTTTTCCTGGGGAAATCCTCACAGCCAGCCTGTGGGTATCCACTCTTACTGGCTCCATTTCACCCCCAAGGCAACAGAGGAACAGAGGGGCCTGACCAAGGTCCCACAACTGGTTAGCAGCAGAACCTTTCTGGAAGTAGCCTGGAACTGCAGGCAGAGAAAGAGAACTTCTGCCCTAGATTTCTGCCAGGAGATGCCTTCCCGCCCCAGAGGACCCAGGTTTTTGAGAGAAACATCCTTCATCCTTAATTAATTCAAGAATAGCTTTGAACCTAGAGCCTTCCCACCCACTCTGGGTTTGAGAGACTTTGAGAGCTGGAGTCATGGGCTTGCTGATTGGTTGGCTAAGACTGAGGGTGAGGCCCAAAAGCTCAGCCGGGGGCCCTGGGGAGGGCTGAGCTCCATCCGCTCACCTCGGCCCTCGCTCACTGTCCTCCTGCAGGTCAGTGGCCACTTGGACTATGCCAAGCAGATGGACATCATCCTGAAGGCCGTGGGCATCCGCACCAAGCCAGGGTGGGATGAGAAGGGGCTCCTGCTGGCCCCGGGCAGCTTGCCCCAGGAAGAGCCTCGCCAGGCAGCAGCCACCCCCTCATCGGCCGAGACCTCACACCAGGCTGGGCGAACCCAGGGTCCCACACCCGAAGACGCCTCCAAAGTGGCCATGTCTGTGAACTCCAGCCAAGCCCAGGTGTCTGCAGGACTGGACCGACCTGAAGGGGCCTCCCTTCCTGAGGCTGCCAGTCCTGCTGAGAGCTCCCACATCTGCAGCCATGGCATGGACCCCAACCCACTGGGCTGTCCCGACTGTGCCAACAATATCCAGGAGCCCTGCCCTGGGCTGGACTAACCCCAGCGGGGGCCTGGGAGTCTGCCCAGATCTCTGCACACAGCTGTCTCTCACACGCCCAGGTTCCTCCCAGGAGCCCTGCACGGTGTGGGGCTTCCACACATGCCCTCCCAAGCTGAAGGCATTGGAAGTGAAAGGAAGAGGAAACGGAAGGAAGGGGAGCTTGGGGGGAAAGACACACCCTCCCTGGGGAAGCAAGGCCAGAGACCTGCAGGGTTGACCAAGCACAGTGTAGAGCCCTGGACTCGAAACCAACTGTGAGCTTTCTGCACTCCCTGTCACAGGTGTGGGGTCTGGTCGTCCATCAGGAGGCCCAGAGGACTCTCTGGGGCCAGAGGCTCCCCTGCCGCCTCTCCCTTGGCCTCAGTGAAGCCGGGTGTCCACCTGCTCTTCTGTCCACTCTTCTAGTCTGCCCGCCAGTCCACGGGCACTAACTGGCACCAGTAGAGCAGGTGCTTAGGGGGCAGCTTACTCCTGCTTTTAGGAAGTCAGATCTGCCCTGAACAACCATGCAGGCTGTACACTGTACAACCCCAGGACATGGGTCACACAATCACCGTGTGAGTGGCACCTTCTCCCCCCAAGCTATGCAGCATGGTGGCCGGGTACATGATGGTAACAGCATGGTGAATACATGCCGAATCCACATTCAGGGTGGCTGGGAACGGGTCTGGTGACAAGAATGAATTTTACAAGGAAAGGTTTTCTTGTCGCAGGAACAGGGGGAACAAGAACAACAATAAATAATAATAATACCAGCTGCCACTTCCTATTTACCACGTACCAGGTGTTTATGTGGATTGTCTCAGCTGACCTTCACAGCAACCTATGAAGTAGGTACTATTTTTTTAATGTTTATTTTTATTCCACTGTGGTCTGAGAAGGTGCATGGTAGAATTTCAATCTTACAGAATTTGTTTATGCTTGATTTATGGACAAGGACGTGGTAGATACTATTATTATCTTCATGTTATATTTGGGGAAACTGAGGCTGAGAGCTCAGGTGGCCTGCTGAAGGTCATACAGCTGGTCAGTGATAGCACCAAGCTGCAATCCCCAACAGATCAGGCGCTGGAGCCTAAGCCCTAGCCATGGGGTCTTTGTTCCTTCCACTGTCCTTTTTTTTTGAGTTGGAGTCTTACTCTGTCACCCAGACTGGCGTGCAGTGGCACACTCCCAGCCACCGCAGCCTCGACTGGCTGAACTCCGGCAATCCTTCTGCCTCAGCCTTCCAAGTAGCCGGAACAACAGGTGTGCACTACCACACCCAGCTAATTTTTGATTTAATGTAGAGATGAGATCTCGCCAAGTTGTCCAGGCTGGTCTCGAACCTGCAGGCTCAGGCAATTCACTTGCCTCAGCCTCCCAAAGTGCTGGGATTACAGGCTGAGCCACTGAGCCCAGCCTCCACTGTCCTTGAATGACCAAGGCCCAGGTCAAGGAAAAACTGACAAGCCCTGGTGGAGGTGGGAGGAGGGCAGGAGAAGTTACAGTCATAGAATATAGGCACAGGCTTGCTGCTTAGGTGTCTGTGTTTTTGTTTGTTCATTCAACAAATATTTACACAACTCCTGCTGCTCTTATACCCAGCAGCTCCTGTCACACATGGAAAACTGGGGTTCTGGAAGGAGAAGTGATTTTGCTGGGGTCCCAAAGCTAGTCAGAGGCAGAGTCTGGACGAGAACCCAGAATACTGGCCCTGGGTCTCCTCCTATGACACTTGCTGCAAAAGCCCCCAGTATCCCCTCCTTTGAGTCCAATCCACACCACAGCCACTGCCTTCAGCTAGTGTTTATTGAGCGTGTCCTCAGACAGGTCTAGGGGACAGGGGAAGCCCCAGCAAGCACCAGAACCCCTCTGCGGGGCCAGAGTTGAGTCGAGTCAGCACCAAGGAGGGCGCCAGACCTGGGACAGAGAGCCCCCTGGGAGTTGGGGTGGATGGAGTTTTGAGGGTGGGGCTGAAAAGGAATCCATGGCAGGTTGACTGGGGACCAAGTCCCCTCACCCCCTGCCCCACAAAAACAAGGCCCCTGTGCCAGAGTCCACCTGCCTGCCTGGTGGCCCCACCCCACACCCACGACAGCCCCTCTTTGCTCTGATGACCCCAGTGGCCACCATTCCCATTTCTCTCACGCCGGGGAAGGCCAGAGGAGACAGGGCGAGGGGCTGGGTTTTTCCCCGTTGGCTGTTCCCTTCCAGGTCCAGGGAAGCCCAGGGTAGGGGACAACCCATCCCTGAGGTTGAACTAGAAACTGTCGTCTGCCCCTTGGCCCCCAGGAGAGACTGCAGCAGCTTGGGAGCTGGGAGGGTCCCTGAGGGACAAGGACACCATCCAGGATCCAGAGCAAGGGGTTGGGGGACCAGGAACCTGGGTTTGAGCTGAAGGATGGGGGATGGAAAAAGAACAGTAAGAACAGACAGCCCTTCTGGTCCACAGTCAGAGGCCAGGGGGCAGAGGGCCGGGGGTTATAACAACAGAATGTACCACTGACAACCAGCTACTGGGTGCTGGCATGCTACACACATCATTTTTTTTTTTTTGAGTTGGGGGTCTCTGTCACCCAGGCTGGAGTGCAGTGACATGATCACGGCTGGATTGCTGGGCTTAAGGTCCTTCCCCTTCAGCCTCCAGAGTAGCTGGGACTACAAGCATGCACCACCACACCCAGCTAATGTTTTGATTTTTTTTGTAGAAACGAAGTCTTGCTATGTCGCCCAGCCTGGTCTCAAACTTCTGGCCTCAAGTGTTGCTCCTGTCTCGGCCTCCCAAAGTGCTGGGATGACAGGCGTGAGCCACTGCGCCCAGCCACATTGTCTTCATTCTCAAGACAACCCTATGATGGAATAGGCATTATTACCCCATCTTACACACAGGATAACTGAGACCCAGAGAGACTAGGTAGCCTGTGTCAGCCCCTAGAGCAGAGACTCAGGGGTGTGCCTGCCTGGCTTAGGTCATTCAGCAAATTGTTCTTAGCGTTCCAGGTCACCTGAGCCTGCATGTCTCAAGGTGTAATGTGCACACAATTCACCTGGCATCTTGTTCACATGCAATTCTGACTCCGTGGGTCTGGGTGGGGCAGAGATGTGCGTTTTTAAGACTCTCGGGAGGTCTCGAGGATGCTGATGTGGTCCGGGCTCACTCTGGGTGGTGAGGGATTCAGCCACGCCCTCACCCACATCTGCAGGTGGAGGCATCCCCTCCAGTCCCGCCTGACAGTGTGGCCAAGGACTTGACTGTTTTCCTCTTAGCCTGAACCAAAAGGTCCATCTTCCCGGCACCTGGAGCCCTCTGGCTCATCCTCTATCCACTTGCCAGTAGAGCATCCTGCAGAAAGCTGTCTCAGAGTCACCTGTTCTCCCTCCAGGTGAGGGGCCTGGAGTGGGCAGTAGGGGCTGGCTCCGTCTACTCACAGGGCTCCCAGGAGACCTGCAGCTTCCTGGCTCGAGCCAAAAGCTGGCCTGAGACCTTGGGGCCCGGGTCCCATCCATTCCTGCTCCCCATGGCCAGCTCTAAGCCCAGGTCAGTTCGCAGGGGGGCCAAGTGCATGCAGCCGCCGCTCGGGCTCCGCGGGGTCGATGTTGAAGAAATTGACCGCAGCGGCGGCCCTGGTGGGTGGTGGGGGCTCCCGGGTGGCCTCTCCAGGAAGCAGCAGCTGGGCGGTGAGCTGCAGGCCCGAGGAGCCACCCGAGCCCGAGTCTGAGTCTGAGTCCGGCGGCAAGGGCAGGGGCAGCACTTGCTGCAGGCTTAGGCCGGGCCGGGGGCCGCTGTGAGAGGTGCGCAGGGAGGGCGAGGCGAGGCTGGCCCGGCGCTCCCGGGGACAGCGAGGGCATGGCAGAAACTGGCCCAGGGCCCGCTTGAAGTCCCGCATGAAGAGGGGGTAGATGATGGGGTTCATGGTGCTGTTGCAGTACCCCAGCCACGTGAGGACATCGAAGAGGCCTGGAGAGATGCAGTCGCACACCGCCTGAGGGGACGGGACGGGTCATGCCCAGTCCCGGAGCAGGACCCTGGGCCACCCCAGCCAGCACAGATAGAGCAGACACGCAGGAGCGCATGCACCGTGAGAGGCAGCCCACCCCTCCCTCGTCATGGCTGGGTTGGGACTAGGGGCTTCCCCAGCAAGGCCTGGACTCACCTGCCCTCCACTGTGGCATTACCTGGACTATGTTGGCCACAAAGAAGGGCAGCCAGGTCACAAAGAACATGCCCAGCAGGATGCCCAGTGTCAGGCTGGCCTTCAAGGCCTTCCTGCTGTGCTTGGTACCCAGACGCCTGCTGTCAGCTGACTCCACCCCTGGGCGTGGGGTCCTGGGCACCTGCGGAGAGGAAGGCCACATGAGTCGGGGCTGAGAAAGAGCCCCAGTCTGACCCTGATTTTCATCATAGACTCAAACCTAATTCCACACTGAGCCTGAGTACCAGCAATAAACTGAGCCCTGCTCCTTGACTGAACCACAACTGGAGCTCCACAAGCCTGGCCCCGACTCCAGACCAATCCCCGACATTAGCAGTAAACTGAGCCCTGACCGTGGTCCCAGACCGAACCCTGACACCATCAAGCCCTACATAATCAAGGTCTTAAACTGAGCCTCAACCATAGACTTAGACTGAGTCCTGATCCTGGTCCCACACTGAGCCCTGAACCTGCCCCATAATTTCACCAAGAGCTCTAGGAAGTGCAATGAGACAGAGCAACACTATCCCAAACACAAACCAGATGGCTCAAAAGAACCACCATCCCTACAAAGACAACACACAACACAGGCCCACGCCCATGACAATAAGCGCAGCACCTTCCAAGCCTGTGGCACTACGGGAATCAGCTGCAACTGAACAGTATTTGACCACAAAGGTCCTGTCACTGTCCAGGGCTTGGCAATTTCTCTGGATATGGATTATCTTCCTATCTAGGAAGAATGGCCTTACCTGGGCAATTACCCACCTGCTCCACAAAATAGAAGTGCTTTTTTGAGAATGTGTGCACAAGGCAAATGTTTGCAGTTACATCTTGTATAGATTACTAGAGAGGAGATGCTAGTGACCTTGGCATTTTACAGCTCTGTTTCGCTGTGGACAGGACAGACATCTCCATTCTCAAAAGTGGGTTGGAAGAGGAATAGAGTGGAGGATGGAGGAGGAGGGAAGCTGCTCTCCAGGGAGGTGCAGCTCACCCTGAGGGAGGACATGGGCACCAGGAGGCTAGAATTTGACTGTAAACTGGCAACTAGCAGTCTCCAAAAGGCCCTCTGAGCTGGATGATCCTTTCGCCCTGCACCTCTCTTAACTTTTTAGCTTCATTAACCTTTTGAAAGGTTAATGAGGACAAACGCAGTGGCTCACACCTACACTCCCACCATTTGGGGAGGCCGAGGCGAGAGAATTGCCTGAGTCCAGGGGTTCAAGATCAGCCTGGGCAACTTGGTGAGACCTCATCTCTACAATAAATTAAAAAATTAGCCTAACGTAGTGGTGCGCCTCTGTAGTCCCAGCTACTTGGCTGAGGCAGAAGGATTGCCTGAGCCCAGCAGGTGGAAGCTGCGGTAGCTGTGATCACGTCACTGTACTCCAGCCTAGGTGACAGAGGGAGACTCTGACTCAGAGAAAGAAGAGCTAATGAAATCTACAAGAACCTCTCCCTAGAAAATAAGACAAATTTTTATACTCACACACACTCAAGAAAACGATATCCCACACTTCCAGAGGGTTCACAGGACACCTTGAAGTCTCTAGGTTCCCACCATGAAACCTCTGGGAGTCTCTGAAAGCTGGCATAGGAAGCCCACCTCTATACCATGTATTGTAATCAATGTTAATGCTCATATATCAGGTTTACACAAAGTGAGGCCTACCCGTGATTACAAAGGAAGTAAATACCAGTATGCAGTGGTGTGAGTGATTCGTCGTGAGCTTCGCAAAGGGTTTGTGTGCTGCCTGGGAATGCACCTGGGTGTTGACAGCCAGAGACTTGCTCACCACGCCCTAAGGCGCATGACAGCCCAGCTGAGTTCCTGAGGCAGCCAGGGCTGGGTTGAGTATGAGGAGAAGACAAGGTCAGAAGGAGGCAGGAAGGGAACCAGATTCCCAGGCAACCTTCCACAGATGGAAAGGGGGCGGAGGAGGAGGCGAAGCCAAGAAGCGTCAACCCCAGGGAGCACCGAAGCCAACGCCCCCACCCCACTCATGCGCATTCGCCTTCCTCCCAGAATTGGTGTCTTGTCCATGGTGCTGAACCCCCTGCTACCTACTGTCTTTTCCAGAATTTCTAATTCTGGAATGGTGGGAAGGGAGTAAGGGGGAAGACAAAGCACATTGTAACTCCCAACTGGGTGAGATCTGAGTATACAAATATCGAGGACAAATTCACAAGCGAGCAGCCTAAAAGAGACCCTTGATTTCTCCCCTCTGTCTTGGCAAGAGCTGGGCTTTTAAGACAGGTGATCTGGCTTGCATCATGCTTCTTCCACTTACTTGCTCCATGATCTTGAAAGCCTGTTTCCACATCTGTAAAATGGGAGACATGAGACCCAGCTTCCAGGGTTTATGTGAAGCTATGGATAAGTAATGCATGCATGGTGCCCAACACAGAGAAACTGCCAAACACGTGGTGGCCATGGTGCTGGTCCCGTGATATGTGTGTGAGGCTGGGGTGATTTTGAGCACCCTCTGAGGCTCTGTCCTTCCTCTGGCCTCCCCAAGGAAGCACAGACATCAGGACAAATGCTCTGACTCACCACACTGCAGCTCAGGCTCGGACCAGAGGACGCTCTCCTCTGCCTCTATCACACCATACATGAGTCTGCTCTGAAATCCGGCCCCAAGTCAGCAAGGGAGAAAAAGAAAGCCCACTCTGCTCTTTCCTCGCTTAGTTTTCTCTCCTCCAGAGTGAACTCTGGCTTCTGAAGCCCCGCCATTATTCTGAGGTCAGCCTGCCGGAAGAGGCCTCCGCTGCCCCAAAAGAATCTCCTAAGTCCTGCCACACCTTCAAATTGCTGCCATCAACGGGGGCAGACAACATGGGGAGGGAGGTGACACTGTCTCCAGAAAGTCCCAGTCACCCAAGCATGCCTCTGACCCCTGCTGACCTGGGGAGGGGAGGGGACAGGAGGCAGCCCTGATCTTGTCAGAGCTCTAGGAGATAGGGGGAAATGGAGGCATGGGGGGAGGATACCTCGGGGCAATCATCAGGGAGGGAGCTCCAGAGACGGGTGAAGATGAAATGAAATCCCTTCTCTAGTCTCCCTGGGAACAGCCCTGGGTTTGTCTTTCTCTTCTTCTCCCCTCCAAAATTGACCCAAGAACGCAGGCAAGAGGGAAGAAAGAAGGAAGCTGAGGCCCAGAGAGGGGAGGGGACCTTCACAAGGTGGCATTGGGCCAGCACAAGGCTTCAAACCAGAGCCTGAGTGACCCCTAATCTGTATCCACATCCACACTTCTTGAGCTCGTACTACACACCAGCATTTGATATTAAGTCACTCAATCTTTATGAGAGGCAGGCATTCGTATCCCCATTTTTCAGATGAGACAGCTGATGCTCAGAGAGGCACAATGACTTACCAGGAGTCACACAACAGATACAAGTTGAGTCAAGGGATCGGTCATTTCTGGCCCCAGAAACCGCACTATTCCCACTTCACCACACTGCACCTACACTTGGGAGTGGCATCCACGGGCCACAGTCAGAGTGAGGCTGGGAACACCACCACCATCACCCAGAGGCCCTGGTGTAGCAGAAGCCAATGGCAGCCACCAGCCCACACCCCGGAATCCGGCTGATGCCGGACTGGAGTCCTGGCTTCACTCTGCCCTGTGACCATCTCACAGGCCCTCGTGGCTATATCCTGTGGCTTGCATGCCCCTTCTACAAGCATATGCATGTGTCACTGTCAGAGGGCAGTGGCCTGGTGGGCAGTAGGGCAGTGCTCTGCCAGCCAGCAATCCCACATACAGATTCTTACATCCAACCAACACCTGCACGCATGTCTGTACACCGGACGTATATAAGAACACATCCCACAGCACTAGTCGTGCTAGAAAAAAATTAGAAACAGCCTAAATGTCCATCAAAAGAAGAGTGAAATAAACCACAGTGCATTCCCATGCCAAATATACATGGATGTTTTCAAAGGATGAACCGATCAAATGGGAAGGTGCATGAGTACCAGGTTATAACAGGCTACTAAGTAATCGATACAGCAAGAAAAAAAAACACACACAAAAGGTCGGGCGTGGTGGCTCAAGCTTGGAATCCCAACACTTTGGGAGGTGGAGGTGAGAGGACTGCTTGAGACCAGGGGTTCGAGACCAGCCTGGGCAACATGGCACGACCCCATCTCTACAATAAATCAAAAAATTAGCCGGGTATGGTGGCGCATGCCTGTAAGTTCCAACTACTTGGAAGGCTGAGGCGGAAGGATCGCCTGAACCCAGCAGGTTGAGGCTGCAGTGGTCGTGGGCATCCCACTGTACTCCAGCCTGGGTGGCAGAGTGAGATTCCAACTCTAAAAAACAAAAACACTACATTTCTTTAGGTACCTAGACCTAAACACATCAACACACAGAAAAAGAAGAGGAAAAAAGGACATACCCTAAATCGATGATTGTTTCTGTAGTGGAAGATAGTTAGATGGAATTTGGGATCTTTTACTTTATCTCTGTTGTTGAATTTTTATGCTAATGTGTACTTATGTATTCCCTTGTGTAATTTAAAATTTTGGTGTCATATATCCATAGTGTGAGGGTTATAAGACAGACTCTGGAGATTGTTCAAATCCTGGCTCCATTACAAACTCGCTCAGTGGCAAGTTTCTTCACCTCTCTGTGCCTCCGCCTCTTCTGCAAGATGGCATCATAATGACATCTACCTGGTAGGACTGTCATAAGGATTAAATAAGATAATATACAGAAAGCTAGAACCTTGCCTGGCACCTTGTAAGTACCACATGTCAGCTATCATCGTTGTATAATGTTATTAGTGTCCGCCTCTGCTATTTGACAATAACAATGCTGCTGGTGGCAGCGGGGATGATTTTTACCCCCAGAAAGCCTTGAAGGGGTGAACTCCCCAGATCCATATGCATTACCACCAACAGAAGAGCAGTGACCATTTGTTCAGCACCTACTCTGTGCCAAGTAATTAACGTATATTATCTCATCGACTCATCGACTCTTGACACAGCCTCATGGGATCGATATCATTAACCCTGGGGCACAGGCAAGTGGAACGCCTTGTCCAAGGTCATCCAGCCGGCATGAGGCTGGAAAAGCGGCAGGTCTTGAGCCCCAACCAGCCAGACCCCCAAGCTCCTGCCCCAATCCCGGTTTATCAGGCCGCCTGGCTGGAGCAGCAGCCAAGCCGGCCTCATTCAGCACTGCCTCTGCCAGCCTCTCCTGGGCTCAGCCCCCACCTCCCCCTTGCAGATATTTCTGTGATCACAGCCTCCTCTGAGGAGGAGGAAGGACAGAGATGGAAGGGAAGATGGATCACTGGGACAGAACGATGCTTAGTTGGGTG